CTGAACCCGCTGGGCCGTCACCCCTGCAGGTAACTGCTTCAAGGGAAACCTCCCTTTTTTTCTTTTTAAAAGCGATATCTTTATTTATTAATTTATTTAGTGGCAAATAACAGTGTAGAATACTCAAATGTGTGTGGCTGAGATAACTGTGAAGCCACTGATTTAGGGCCATTAAGACTCACGGTACAACTAAGGGTTTGTAAATTATGCCATATTGAAATGGAGCCTCAGGAAAAAGCCAAATAAAACATTACTCTTCATGAAGTGCCTGTTTTACTCCTTTTTTGGATGCCTATTGTTAGATGAAGTTAAAGTCTTACATACCACTTAGGAGTACTAAGTACTATATAGCTCACATGACAGAGAATGAAGTGCTGGGCAATGCTACTCTGAAGAAACTGAACCTTCCCAGTATGTCTTTGTGCAGGTCTATAGCTTATTCACATACACAAAGAAATCTCATGGTCATGCCTGTTTAAGAAAATACATATGATGGTAGATGGAATACAGAGCTCCTACACATCTGAAACTACTTCATCTCATCCAGAGCCTCCCAGAGCCTGTTCAATTCATAGACTTCTTGTTAATCAGAACTAAGAGATTAAATGTGAATCCATAAAAGCCTGACAGCGTCTATGTCTGTGACTAGGATATAGGAAGGCAGAACTACTCAACAAGCCTCCTCTATATACCACCTACAAAAACATCTCTAGTGCTGCTGTTATTCTGTAAATACTACAAGTCAAGATAATGATCTGTAAATTTGAATGCGATACTGCTGTGCTTTGTCGTTCAGGACATGGCTTGCTTCTTCACCAGCTTCTCTCCTTACCTTCTTGTGTTTGTAATAGTGTAGGTAGCCATTATGTTTCAGCACAAACCACCTCTTTCTCCAGCCCTTCAATATTGCTGACTGTGTTCGTTTGTGCAAATATCCTCGGCAGGTAGGTCTGGGGGTGTTAGGGTAACGGCTGATATCTGATCCCACCACCATAGTCAGGATATCAGGACCTAAAATATTACATGAAGAATGTGAAAACATAGGTCAAAGCTATAATCCAGTCTGTCAATATTTTTGAATACCCCTATAGGGTACGGAGCAGGAAGGCAGTATTCTATCCCATGCCCTTCTCCTCCCAGTGTAGCTTCTAGAAGAAGCAAGGAGCAAAGCAGCCTAGGAAACAGTGAATTATACCAACCAATGTTTGGCCTTCTTTATCAGAAACTCGGGAATTAAACTAATTTTGTGTTGAGGACTAGTAATGTAGCCAGGTATCTGAAGACACCTCCTAAAACAGTTTTTGTGACCAATTTTTGCAAGCAGCAGCTTAACTGCTTGCATATTTTATCAGTTTAGAGAAGTGGTTGGATTTCATTGCTCAAATGGGTGTACATAAATTGGAGTTTATACAAAAATTGCTGAGAATGCTCTTAGGGGCACCTTCTGTCTCTGTTGTCTTACATATGCTCTTGAGAATTCTTTCTTTTCCATGTCCTAGAGTCTACTAACATTTTCTGCTATCTGTGCCCCTCACTGAGGGGGTTTGCTGTTGAAGACTAACTTGTGCTAAAGTGTCTACTTATCATTTGGAAAAGGTAAGTGCTCAAAGGAGATGCTAGGTTGCAAGATTGCCTGAAAATGTGTTATTGTTATCAACAATGAGGTACAATTTCATAATATTCGCTGATACCATCAATACATTTATGGCTTTGACCCTAAAGGCCTGAAATTCTGATTATATCAGATACTACTTCAGAGCAGGTGGCAATGACTTAAAGAGGATTGAGAAATGTGACTATGACATATTTTCATCTGCAAAACATTTGCTGGATTTCTCTTTTGGGGACATTTGACTCTGGAAATGCTGTCTGTGTGCCAAGATTTAGGCCAGGAGGTGGTCTCTGAGGAGTTAAAAATACCCAGTAATCAGAGATTTATCTACTAAAAGACTCAACATACTCTTAAAATATAACAGTGTGAATGGCATCTCTATAATTAAAGAACTTGGTATGTGTCAAGCTAAATTTGTCACTGTCTTGGAAAAGCATTTTAATTTATTGAGTTTCCCATGAGCCCTTGTCAAAACCATATCTGGGATAAATAAAAGAACTGCAGTATATTAACTTTCAGCATGCCAACATGGGTATCTTTGGGTTTTAGTCACCACAATTCTAGGAAGAATATGCATGATTAAAATCACTGACTCCTTGTTTCTGTGGTGCTGCAAAAGGATGCCTCATGAAATAACCTCTCTGCTCTCCAGACTAGACTTCAGGTCTTGGTGACACAGAAATAACCGCTTGGGTGCACTGAACCAAGCTGTGAAGTCTCTCCCTGAGGAAACATAAGGCATAAATAAGGCATTGGTGTCTCTGCAGTCACTTTCAGGACTTTCTCAGTCACTGTCTTTAAGGCAGGAGAGCCAAAAGCGTTACTTCACATATGCTCTTTGGGGAATATTTTGTATGTCCATTTTCTTCTGTGTTCCTAGCAAGGTCCAGATAAAAAAGTGACTTCACCAATACTACTATATTAAATACTAATGCATTAAACCGGTCATTAAGATTTCTGTTGCATCCATCACCCAACTTGTCTGGATGTATTTGGAGCATTGTACAGAAATCCTGACCCATCTGTGTAATTTATTGTGATTTCAAACTTACCTTTCCTTGCCAGATTGGCAGCTTCTGAATGTGGCATGCTGGTGACATCAGTTCCGTTGACTGCTATCAGAATATCCCCGACCTGAAGCCCTGCTTCTTCAGCTGCACTGTCTGGAATAAAAAAAACCCCACATTTTATTTAGAGTTAGGATATCAAGCATGTCTATGTGATCAAGCTTTTCTAGCAAAACAGGTATCTGTCCAACTTGTCAAGGATTATGTTTTGGGACCTTTGTGACATCAACTTGGAGATGGAGCAAGTTTTTCTGAGCAACCTGTTAGTCTCTGTAAATGAAACTTCAGGATTTAGGTATTGGTTCAACACTAGATAATCACTGGCAGTGGAGAAATGTCATTAAAAATGCCATTAGGACTTAAACGCTTTAAGATGCAAATAGGCATTTCAGTATCTGAGGGTTTTGGCCTAAATTGCAAACAAAGATCTGGTGCAATGTTCAGTAAAGTCAGTAGAAAAAACATCTATCATTATGGTGTACTTTGGGTTTGAGACCAAAAGGCTACTTTCTGTGCTGATGTTTCTCTTGCTGGTTAACAGAATTTGGCTATAGTATTTTGTAGGTTTTGTCTTTAGGAGGAAATAACATAGTAAGATAACAAAGGGTCAGTGAAGGAGGCACTGAATCAGATTTGTTAATATATCAACCTTTTGTTTGTTTGTTAACTGTTGCAAAGCACATACACTCCTAATAAAATCGGGCTCAGACACATGCCGGCCAGGAATGGAGGCAAATTAGGGAAGTGATAAATATGGTCCATTCACAGGCACCAATACACAGTTACTTAAATCCCAGTTACAAATTTCTCAGACACAGTTTTTTTCCTTCTCATTTATAATTAAGCATACATAATGTACTGCGAAAAAATTGTTTTTAGAAAATATTGTTCCATGTCCATACTATTGAATGTGTATTTTTAAAGATTTTCTACCCTATCATGCAGTAAATGTGGTTGTTCAGTGTATTTCTGAGGATGCTTAGAAGTTGTAGGGAAGAGATTAGTAAAAGCTTAATAATAAACAGGGACAAAAAAGCCATGGTTCACCCTCATGTGTATTACAAATCATTTGCAAATTTGCAAATGCCAGCACATTTTGGTTTGTGCTGACCTTGAGGATCTCATACAATACTTTATGATCATAAGTGGTCTTTAAAATAATGTGTCAGTGTGCAATCAAAAAGGGATACAAATGCAATTTTTATGTCTGTTTTCATGAAATGAGTCATATTTTGAGAAAACAGAATTTTACTAGAAGTTTGTCTATAGAAAAGAATAGTTTTTTGTTGTTGTTGTTGCTGTTTTAAAGCAACTGCATTTGAAAACAAAACATGCAAATAAACTTAAGAGGAATGATATACAATGTGAGTAGCTGTTTTGCTCTACTTAATTTTAATTAGGAGGTTACAGAGTTAAATTGGTAGGTATTAGGGCTAATGTTGTATGCATGACCTATGATTTATTTGTATTTAGGTAAAAAACTTTCCCACATTCTAATTTGAAAGACCTCTTCTGAGGTTATACTCTTTGATTTAAGAAGGCTAAGGGAATCTGTATGTTTACAATTGGGAAATCATCTAAAACTTTTAATGCTGGAGAGAAGAAACACTTCTTTGCAACAGAGATAACTTTGTATCAATAGGTACTGAAATTCCCAGCCATCTGATAATAACAGCTAGTTGTCCAAGCACACACACATCGTCACTTGTGCTATTTAGGGAAATGATGGCTGACCCCAGTAATTTTGTTTTCTTAAAATGATCAGCAATGAATGATACTGATCTTTAACCTTGTAGTCAAAAGTAACATTCTAATACGATGAGCAGAATGAGTTTTTTAATTCAAAGTTACTTTCTCAGATTCACAGTAAATCACTTTTCACATAACTTCTACTGTAAATATCTAGTTTCAAGGACTATAATAAAAAATATTCTGGACTAAAATTAGGTAGCTGTTTCATGATAAAGAACATTACATAGCCACTTTAGCCACAAATTAATCTTACTAAGTCCTTTGTATAGTATTCTGGAGGCAAAGGTTTTTTAGATTTACGTTATTGGCAAAGCTTCAATTGATAATGGAAGTTCCTGACTGTATTCAGACATGTATAAATATGGAATGATCTCTAGGATCCGGTGTCAAAATCATGTTTATTTTCATGTAGTTCACAGTAAAAGATTAAGAGATACTTTGATAAACAATAGGCATAGCCATATAGAAAGTAAAGCAACCACTTCCAACATTTTCCCTTATTTCTTTTGAATAGGTCTATCTGTTGCCTGAGTTCCTCTTCTGGACTGAAGGCTTTATTTTTAGTATTTAATATGTAGAACATTTGCTCTGAGGCAACAAGTTAGAATGACTTCTAGAACTGAACAGCAGCATCATGCAAAAAGCATGACTGAGGTATAAATCTAATTATGTTCAGATCTTAAGGGGATGCACGGGTTTCTAATACAAGTCTTAGAGTTGTAAAATGTTAGTAAAGTGTTGACCTTTTCAGATATGTAATTTTTTTTCTCTGCATGTTGCTCCCTTGCTCAGACTTCTGACTTTTCTTCCCTAGTAGAATTTAATGATGACCCTATTTAGTAGCTCAGCAGGCAGTTTTTAAAATGATGGGTTCAGCTAATGGATTCACAGGCCTCTGAATTCACAGGCTTTCCCAGTGTTGTCAGGAAGTTGGACAATATAATACCGAATGCTGGCAAAGCGACAGAGCTATTCTTAGATGCTTTGCTAGAGGGCACTCACTAGAATTCTCGGTCTAGGATGACATTTTTCATTATATCTGCCTTTGATAGTAGAAATCTATCAGAGTATCCTGTACCTTCTGCTCCTTCTCTAATTCTACTGTGTCCATCCTGAGATGCAGAGAGCAGTACAGCAAGCAATACTGTAGATTTGGGTGAACCAAGGTTTTAGGTAACAGCAAAGTGACTGACTCCCTGTGTCACATTCTCACTGCAGTTACTGATGATAAAGCCAGCCTTTAGCCAGATTTCTAAGCTGCCATTGCACACAGAGCTGATGATTTCGGAGACCTTTCAGTGGTGACTCCCAAGATCTCATTCCTGAGTGTAACTGCCAGTACCATGTTCTCCATCACGTAGGCATGGTATAGACCATTCCTCTCTAGAGGCATTATCTTACACGTCATCTTTGTTGAAACTCATCTGCCACTTTTTTGCTCACTCACTCAGTTTTGTGAGTTTCTTCTGGAGTTCCTCAAAATCATCGAACCACCCTGAAGAAGTTAACAGCACACCTGTTACGATTTATAGATGGCTCGATGGAAAACCATCCAAGCAGAAGTGTCCCCAGCTAATAAGACTTTTGGAAATGTTGTTATGACGATCACTGCATCCTCCATTTCATTCTTAAAGGCCTGTTGTCATTAGCAGATGTCAGTCCACAAAAGTTCTAGACTTCACATCCAGAGAGAGGCTGGATACAGACATATGAGGTATCAACTGGCATGGAAGGACACAGACCAGTGGAGTCCGGTTTACCCACAGGCATACTGGGGCCCTAAGATGGTTTGTCACGAGCAGTTCAAGGACATGTTATTAAACACCTTACACCACTAATTATGGAAATTATTTATATACATCTATATTATATATTATTATAAAACAGATGTTATATATAATATATTGTATTATACTATATATTATATTATTATAGTATGGTATAGTATAGTATATTACTAAATATTATACATTTATTTTCATACATTTTCATAGGATACAAGTTAACTAGTACAAACACAACTTACTTGTGTCAACTTCAGTCACAAGGATAGGCTTTGAGAACTGGATCCTGAAACCCCAAGGGTAATTGCCAGTTCCTTTAGCGATCTTCACCATTCTTTCACAAACTGTAGAAGAGGAAAAAAGACATCCCTTTTTCCCTACAAGTCAAGTTCAATTTAACAAGGAGCAGCCAGTTTTTAAAACTTTTTATCTATAGGCACTGACAGTTACTGATTCTGCAATCGGCTGGGATGCTTTCAGTATCACTCTTAGCTGTTTGGTGCTGCTCCTCTTGCAGTGCGTACCCTCCTCACGCCATGACTGATTGAATGTCATTCATGTTAGGGCAAAGAGAGACAGCATCAATGAAGTGTACTTTCATCAGCAGTTTAAGTTATGTGCCTGGACTTTGTAATGAAGAGGTGAAGAAGTATTCACATATTCCACTCTACCGACGGCGTTCTGGGAGAGAAAAGCAAGCGCTCCTGCTCCCTGTGTCAGACCTCAAAGCTGCAAATACAAAATACACGCTAAATTCTCAGATGAGTTTAAATCTGTTTCTTGTAGTTTCATTCCTTTTCTATTTTAGAAGGTCTCCATCTTTTGGATAACAATTGTTTCTTTCCCTTTCTTCTACCCTTCCCTGTCCACTCCCTGCTCCCACTGCCTCCCAGTTCTCTAGTCCAACCGCCCACCACACTGGCATCTCCTGCCACCAGTGGCTGTATCCATGTGAAATATCTTCCAGATCAGCAGAATTTAACATGCAAAAGGATCACTCACAGTAAAAAGGGTCTAATTGCCTACTTCCAACTTTTTCTCAGGGTCTAGTATTATTATTGTGTCTCAAATGGACTGGCTCATTAGTAAATCTTATACTCATGAAGGACTTCAGTGTAAATTTGAATTCTCAGAGTATCTGCTTTTGATAATTTACCTGTTTTACTGGGTTTGTTTAATGGAGGCCAATTTAATAATAATTTATGACAGCTGTTTGGTCTTCAAATTGTGTACTATTTGGAAGATAGGAATTGCTTTAAAGGTTACTTTACTAGCAGGCCAATTGATGTTACCTGTCTAAAAAAGCATAGATACTTTAATACCTACTTTAACTACCTTGCTGAACTTCTGAGCCTTTCCCTGGGAGAAGAGACAATCAAAATGGCTCTCCAGAATATTCTCATATATTTTATCGGAGATCTTTCTTATCTGGAGATTTATAGAGGACATTTGTTTTCTCTCATATTGTGAATGATTTATGAGCTCCAGCAAAGAACTATCTCCTGGAAAGCTACAGGTGTGTTTCGGTTCGTCTTAGTTCTTTGAACTGTGTTACTTTTCAGTAACCTAACATTTGAAAAGTGAAGGAAAATCCCCTATCCCCCTGCAAAAGTTATTCACTATATTTGTTTGCATGACAGTGTTTAAACTACAAATAGAACAACGCTTCTTACCCATAGTAAACTTGATTCTTTTCTTTCTGGATCTATTATGTTTGAAAGTTTGATGGAGAACAGATTTTATGACCATTATAATACTTTATGTCCACAAAGAGCTCTCTATGATTTTGCCATGCTTGAAGAAGCTGTGAAATTACATTGCTTCTACCCTTATCATGCAGCAAGAGATGAGGTTTAATTATGACCTTTTACCAGTATAAATTTTGTCAAGTAATTATGATATTTTGCAAGACAGTAGCTAAATAAGAACTATTTATTTACATTTTTTTACAACCTTTTAGCATCTTGGGTTGCTCTTTTTCCTGTCTTCAGCATAAGCGTCCAGCATCTTCTCCAAAATGTTGATCCTCTGGAATCCTCAGAGTGCCCAAAATAAATACAGTTTTATGACATTTATTACCTGTTGCTTTAGCCAACTTACTTGCCACTGGTCTAGGCCTTTTGCTGAGACATCTAGGACTATTATCTGGAGAGGCATCATCTCCTCTGAAAACCCAGGAAGCAGAATGGAAGTTTTCTGTATAAAAACCTCTGTCCTCATTTTCAGAATGTAGTCCCAGATCTACTGATCGAGCATCCTCTGAATTTACTGTCATGAGGGTAAAACAAGTAAAAGTAATGTCAGGAGGGAAAATGCAGGAAGAATAACAGACCTCAGCCAGTCAGCATGGAAGAAGTGCTACAAGCTTCTTAATGAACTGTTTGTAATGTCTGTACTTCTGCAATTTTGCTGCTGTTAAAGGGGCAGTCTGCAAAGATGTCCAAATACAAGATCACAATATTGGATGCTATTGCATATTGAACTTGAATGCCAAGTGAATTCTTAATGCAAATGGTCAAAACAGGAGCTGCACCTTTTTAAGAGAAGTCTGTCTTTAGCCAATTGCTAAGCTTTCTTATGTGGCCCATTTGATTAGGAAGCCAAACAAGATTTCTAGAAATTTAGTATGAGTTCAGTGCATATGGGAAGACAAATGAGAAGCTGAAAAGCAACTGGCATGACTCAGGTCATGATGACCGTATTTGCTGTTTGCTTATTCTTAGCTCTTCTGGACGTGTATATTTAGTTTTATTAAAAAGGAGGTGAGGAAAGAATAGTTTTTGTTTGGTTGGGGTTTTTTTTTGGGGGGTGGGTTTTTTTTTAGTATAGAACTTCTGGCTTGTCCTAGGCTGTTGAATATTTGTATGATGTTACATGTGTTATCATGAGGATTTTCAGATTCATATTTTATATTAATTTACATTCACAATGTCTTGCAATGAGTCTATTGAGTCAAACCATGTCACCCAGATTAACATGGAGATGGAGGAGATGTCTAGTTCTCTGCTAAAGGAAAAAGTTGTAATGTTCAGCCTCACAAGGGGATAGGACAGCAGGCAGCTGGCTGTGTGACAGGCAGGCTATAAACAGCAGTTTGTGGAGAAAAAGGCTATGCAATAGTATGACAACTTCCCAAGCAGACTGGGAGCTGGAACTTCAAAACTAAAACCGGACGGTGAAAGGTATATGAAAGTATAAGACATCAGAGACTGCACTAACAGATAGACTGAAAAAAATGCTTTTGTATAAATTGTCTGAGGGGAAAAAAAAAATCATGCTTCTTTCAATACAAAATGCCTGATATAATGCAGTTAGATTTAATGCAGCTGGAGAAAGGATCTGTTTGCTTTGTTTATCCTGTGTTTGATGTATAATGATTTCCAGTTTCAAAACAGAAAAGATAAAAATTAACCTTTATTTAGTTTTTTTCAGCAAGTGACTTCCTAAATACATCTAACTGGCAGACTTTTTTCACTTTGACGGTCTGCTTAACTGTATCTATGTAGACAAATACTCCACGTCCACTGGCTTCCCCTTATTATGCAGAAAGTATGAGATGGTGTGATTAACTCTATAAAAAGCTCCTAATAAATAAGCAAAATCAAACAAACAAATAAATACTAGTAGGCTGATATGTTTAAAGCACACCTTAGCTTGCTACCATAAATGTATAAATTAAGAAAACCTAGATTAGCACGAAGCAATTCAGTACAGCACAGTATTTTGCCAGTTTAATACTGAATTGTTATAACTGCAGTAGAACTTAAAATGTGACAAATAGGCAAAACCACAGAAATAAATGCTGCCACACTGGCATTATGGAGTTATGCCAAGATATTTCTTGAATGTCTGTTCACCTCTCCCCCCCTTGAGCTTTTGGCACAGATGTCAAACTGAGCAGTTTATGAATGTCAGGAACGAACTGCACTTAGGTTCTTCTCAGCTGCTGGAAGTAAGCGTGTAAGGAGCTGCTGCTTCCAAATACTGATTAGAGTTGTCTCAAGTCTGCAAACACCAGGGAACAGCCTATGCAATGGGAACAGAAATCTGAGGCCTGTAGCATACTATCCAAAATGATTAGATACTAGGATTTGTGACAAAATTGTCTGCTCACTCACCTGTTCTGGAGGACACTTCAGGTTCATGCCATGTGATACCAAAAGCTTTGTCTCAAGGAAAGAAATTCTAGTTCTTGCAACTTGGTCTTTTTTTGGTTTGTTTGTTTGGTTTGTTCTTTTGGGGTTTTTTTATATATTTTCTCTATGAAACCAGCGTGTGCCTGATCTAGTAAAATTTATGGTCCAGGTTTATATTCAAGAGACATTACTGTTGAAATCAATGAACAATTTATCTTGGTGTATGTATCTCCTGATAGGTTTTTTGAGCTCTGGTGGTTTGACATGGTAACTTTCTAATCTCCTTGTTGTGGACTTGAATATATCTTAGGGGCAAAGAATGGAAACTGCTACCAATAAACAGCTTTTTCATTCCCACATGAAATAAGTTAGTCATCCCTGCTGCTTTCTTAACAGGAATTAAAAACTTAGGGATTGACTCAGTTCTATCTGAACATAGGTGGCTAGTACCATATTAGATGCCTTAGGGTATCTCACTTGCTGTCCAC